TGATGTGGTCAGTAAAATGTTGGACTTCCTGAGATTTAATTTTAACCCAGGTGTCGTCAACATACCTGAACCAATGACTTGGTGGTGTCCCTGAAAAGGACGTCAAGGCTCTCTTTTCTACCTCCTCCATGTACAGGTTTGCAACAATAGGAGAAACTGGAGACCCCATAGCACACCCATGTTTCTGCCTATAATATTGCTCCCCATATGTGAAGTAGGTTGACTGCAGGCACAGTGAATGTCCAGAGGACCAGATTTAACTTTTTTAGATTTATTAAAATGTTTTTTTTAATCCAAACCTTTTGTGCTTCTTTGCTAAATTTGACATATCTGAAGGCACTTTGTTACATTGATGTTGGGTGAGGTATTAGACGTGCACAGTGAAGTTACAGACGTGACTAGTTATATGACATAATAATAATAATAATATTAATAATAATATTAATCAAGTTCAAATAGGTTTTATTGTTATTCGCATCACATGTGGTGCATGAAATTAAATGAAATTGTGTACACAGTGTCCCAGTTACACCCAACAATAGCGAAAATATAAATTGTAAAAAGAAAGGGTAAATAAGGAACTAAGATATCAACTAAGAAATACGCTAAACACTAACAGTGCAAAATAGTACGCCGAACAACAGCAGCATGAACATGCGTCTGTGTGAGTAGATAAGAATGAATATAGCAGCATGAAATAATCAGCAGCATTGATAATCGGCAGCACATATCACTAATCAAAGTGACATTACAGTGATTTTTTATTTATTTATTTGTTCACAGTGATTTTCCTGGTTAGAGATTCATGAGTCTAACAGCCTCAGGGTAGAAGCTGTTCCTCAGTATAGTGGTTCTACCCTTAAAGCTCCTTAACCCCCTTCCTGAGGGGAGTGGGGCAAAAAGAGTGTGCGCTGGGTGAGTGAGGTCCTTCATGATACAGGTGGTCCTCTTCCTGCATCTGGAGATGTAGACGTCTGTGATGGTGGGGAGACTGACTCCAACAGACTTCTGTGCAGCCTTCACCACTCTCTGCAGAGCTTTTCTTTCTGCAGCTGTGCAGCAGCTATTGTTGTTGTTGTTGTTGTTGTTATCATCGTTATTATTAATTCATTCAACCTTTATTTAGACAGGTTAATCCCACTGAGCCCCGGGGACTCATTTACAAGAGACCTGGACCTATTAATAATAATAATAATAATAATAAGTAATTGGGATCTGCAGTCAAAACACAGACATTTTGTGGTACCTGCTGTACAAATATAAAGACACTTCTTACAAAAAAATTATACTTGAAAACTAGAGTTTATGGTTGCTTATGTCAGATTGGGTTTCACTATTTTTGTGGTTTGAGGCCATATTATACCAAAATCTGTCACAGTCCTGACTGGACTTTAAGTATGTTTGCACATTTATTTATTATGTGAGCAGATATTTAATTTAGTAAAATGTGTAGTGGATGCATTGTTTTGAGAACAGAGGAGCAGTAATCCTGTTGATAGAAACACTTGTGTGTTTGAGCAACTTGGCTTGAATGAACTACCGGTAGATCAGAACTGAGGCCTGTAATATCAGAAGTTTTAGCAAGTATTGTTTTTGAGGACCAAAACATAATATTCACTGATGTTTAAAGGGATAGTTCAGGCCATTTGGAGTGGGGTCCTATGGAAATGTTATGAATAAACAACATCTTACTTAAAATAGCTCTTTGAACAAGAAAACAAAAATATGTTTGTGTCTCATTTCAATGTTATGAAGACCAGAAAAATAATCATAAAGTAAAAAGCAACAAACCAAACACTGTATTTTACATATTAATGTTTATTGTGTCCTTAAATTACATTTTTTTAAGCAAAAGTTATGACCAGATGATGACTATCAGTGGGTTTGTTTACCTGCGTAAAGAGCTGAAGTGACTAAATAAGGTCAAACTAAACTTGTCTGCTATATTTGACTACGTCCAGGCTAATGTTGGCCAGTTACAGGACTCAAGCTTCCGTGTTATTTATTTATTTATTTAGGATCAGCTGATCACTTTGTTTACACTGAGTGTGGACTCATTTCAGATCTACATGTCAATTTATCTAAACAAAAAACCCAAAACTACCAGAATAAATTCTCTCAAACTTCATCATTTGATATAGCTCAGGATAATGATTTATGCCCAATTTCTTAGTTTGCAATGAGTACCTTTTAATTTTGACAAACGGATGAGCTAATGCTTAGTTTAAACAAGGATCAGACCAACTTGGATTACTGTCATTTTAGAACAACTCAAATCTTAAACGCTCAATTGCACTTCAGGCAAACGTTATATTATAAACCACTACATTGGTTGTTTCACATTACGTGTATTTACATCGAGTTCTAGGGTTGGTTGCTTGTGCAAATAGCAGCAGCAGTTAGCTTTAGCGTATGCTGTACAGCCTGGAGCATTTTCAGGTAGAATATTTCTTCTGGATTAAACACTATTCATAGTGATTGCATAAATCTCTCTGAAGTTGGTTTAAATCAGCTGTTCTCACTTGGATAAGCTGTGAACTTTTCATTCTTTAGAAACAACCTTTTTCTCCAAATTTAAGTTGTTCAAAAGTCCATCTACAACAGGTAAGATATTAATTGTTTACGATCTTTCTACAAAACCCAGGTGCAACAGAGCTGAGCTTTGGCTTTAGTGTTCAAAAGAGAAAAAGTTCAGAGCTTTACAAGTCCTCGACCATAAAGTGAAATCTGTTTCCACATATAGAAGATTTTTGACTGCAAAAACAATCCATCTAAAAACATGAACTGTTTTGTGTAGAATCCATAAAGCTGTGTTTTCATGAAAATGTTAACTTGTTTATCTGCTGGTTTATTTTCAGTAAAAAGGTTCTGGTTTTGTTTGTAGGAGAAAATGAAAGGAAAGAACAAACTGGTGCCTCGTCTGCTGGGCATCACCAAGGAGTGTGTGATGAGAGTGGACGAAAAGACCAAGGAGGTGATCCAGGAGTGGAACCTGACCAACATCAAACGCTGGGCTGCGTCACCCAAGAGCTTCACCCTGGTGAGCACTTCAGAAGTGGTCTTGCTGTTTCACGTGATGCAGTGACGATCAAGGAAAGAAAAATCTTGCTCATAAGGACAAAATTACATAAATTATGACAAAACAATACAACATATATTCATATATTTATAATAATTGCAGAATTTTGTCATTTTGTAACTTCAGCAAGTGCTTTTCGCCCTTAAAATGCAATAATTTGCAACAAAATAATAAACCATACTACTTTTTACAGTAGCTGTGCATTTATAAACTTTTCACCCCCTCTCTTTTACCAAATTCCTTGCTATGGTTTTTTGTGATAATTTAATTTCTTCTTGGGTTCAGTGATATTTATTTGCACTTTTGAAGAGTAATTTTATTTCTCACCTGTTTGGACTTTAGAGCTTCCTGTTGGAGAACCTCAGTTTTATCAGAAGGCCATATTTGTTACAAGGACAGTAACAGTCTGACTCAACAATGGAGTAGAGGGATCACATTAGCTGAAAATGATATAATGAACAAATATGAAAGAAAAAAGAGAATATGTATAATGGTGCTAAGAACAGACGCAGTCTTTTAACGCACTTGTTCAATTTGTTTTTCCATTTTCTGGAATTTATATCCTCCCTGAGAAGACATGACATATTGAAGTATTGTAAAACACAGTTCCTGTTTTAATCCAAAGTTGCCTTTCAGGACTTTGGAGACTACCAGGACGGTTACTACTCTGTGCAGACCACCGAGGGGGAGCAGATAGCTCAGCTTATTGCTGGATACATCGACATCATCCTTAAGAAGGTCAGTGGTTACAGGAACAACACACTGTACGTGACAATAAACCATATGGTCTTTATAAGATAAACATTTTTATCTGTATTAAAAGATAAATCCTATAAAACTGCACTTTGTTTCCCCCTTAACAGAAAAAGAGCAAAGATCACTTCGGCTTGGAAGGAGATGAAGAGTCAACCATGCTGGAAGACTCCGTTTCACCCAAAAAGTAAACTTCTATGTGATTTATTCCTAAATCATCTTACAACTAAAAACAAATAATTTGTGGTCACGACTCTTAGAGGGCCTTCATTCAGCTGTCTTAATTTTGTTGGCAAAAGAAGTGGTGAACATGAAGTGAGTCTGTGTGTGTTGAGGTCATGTGACTACGCTTCAGTGAATAGTAGAGTCGGCAGTATGGGCAAACTGGTGGTGCCTTGTCAGCAGAGCGTGGCAGCACCTCAGACCTGGATACAACAGGCTGTTTGAGCTTATTTAGCTCCTTCTTTGGCAAGTCGGTCCACAGCTGTTGGACCTGACCCTCAAGATCCAGGAGAGGGACTCTGAGCTGGCACCACACAAGCTCTACTGGCAAAACGTCAGAGGGCCTGGCTGACCACATTAAGGTGTCCTGGAGGTCTGTAAGGCTTGGTGCACAATATGACAATCACCCCTTGATGGGATCTGTCTTGATCAACTGGGAACTTCACGGTGCCCTCACTGGTTTCAGTGTTGGACATTGGACAATCGCACAATACAACCACCCTCAACACGACTGTCTAATGCATCTACGAGGCATCCCTGTGTCTGCTGACCTTCACTCACTGTACTGGCTAACCGTCAGACACTGGCAACTACCTGATAACACTAACAGTCCACATGTGATGTTCTTACTTATGGCCTCTAGTGTTCATTCCTTGCAAATTGACTGATTTAATATATCCATCACTGGTCTGCATGTGGACCAAATCGCATCTAAATTAGACATTGTTTTTGTTAACGAGTGCATTTTTTTTTAACTCCCCAGTAATGATATACGTTTGTTAGAGCTACATTTGATTGCTAATCGGTTTCTTTGTGGACACAAGTATACATCTGTCTCCGTCTCATGTGATTCCAGGTCCACTATTCTGCAGCAGCAGTTCAACAAGATGGGCAAGGTAAACATGGACTCAGTTGCCCTGCCAGTCGTGATACGGCCAGGAGGCGGAGGGCCGGAGAGCTTCCAGATGGGCTCCATGCCTCAGGCCAAACAGCACATCACCAGTGGACAGATGCACCGAGGACACATGCCTCCACTGGTAAAACCAAGACAAACGTCACAAAGCAAACTCATCATTCGGGTCATTTACTGCATCAGTTTGGAGAATCCTCAAAGGTTTCTCAGCTCTCACCCTGAGACACAGATCAACAGATTAAATCCAGTCAGCGACTGTTTTAGGGGAGATTTAAAAAAGATGATTTTAAAAGGGATCTTGAAGCCAACAGAGGAAGACTGCTGTCAGCTTATTGGGAGAACAAATATCTTGGTTTAGTTTGTTGTTTGTGAGTTTAACGTAATATTAGTCCAGGTGAGGATTTGTCTTAAAAACTGGATCTCTCTCTGTGTGTCCACAGACGTCAGCACAACAAGCCCTGACTGGAACCATCAACTCCAGTATGCAGGCTGTCCAGGCGGCCCAGGCCTCTCTGGATGACTTTGATACCCTGCCCCCACTAGGAACAGATTCTGTAAGAGTTACCTTTGAAGAATAATTTAAACGAGAACCAGAGCCCGTTTCAGGAAGCTCACTGAACAAACGGAGACATTTAAACCATACATACTAATATTTTTAATTCCACTTATCTTTTTTTTATATACTTTTGATTGTAGCAACTTTCTGGTTGTCTGTTCAGGACTTAATACTTTGAGGATTTTTAATATTATATATTTTTAAGGCATCGCAAGCTTGGCGCAAAAACAAGATGGATGAGTCCAAGCACGAGATTCATTCCCAGGTGGATGCCATCACAGCAGGCACAGCCTCCATGGTCAATCTCACAGCAGGTAATTTATTTTATATTTATCAGATTTGATTAATCAAACAGAAACTTTTAGCAAGGTTGAGGTGCAACTAGAAGGAGATCCTCTGCCTTGATACTCTGGACGCTGAGAGAGGACAAAAGTGTTGTTTTTTATTCGGAGGTGAATGCAGTCCTTTGTTGCTGTCTTAAGGTGATCCAGCTGAGACAGACTACACAGCGGTGGGCTGTGCCGTCACCACAATCTCCTCCAACCTGACCGAGATGTCTAAAGGCGTGAAACTGCTAGCTGCGCTCATGGAGGATGAGGGAGCAAACGGACAACAGCTGCTGAGCGCAGCCAAGAACCTGGCGTGTGCCGTCTCTGACATGCTGAAGACGGCTCAGCCCGCTAACACCGAGGTACACAGCCAGCCTGACACATGCACACTCATTACGGTCATGCTCTCTTCAAATCTTTCAGTTCTTCCACTAATGTTTTATCCTCCCAGCCTCGTCAGAACTTGCTGCAGGCTGCAGGAAACGTGGGTCAGGCGAGTGGTGAGCTGCTTTCTCACATCGGAGAGACGGACACCGACCCGCAGTTCCAGGTGCGTCCTTAATTTAATAAATGTTGCCTTCTTTAACTTTTGCTTTACACGACTTAAAAAGCACTTTGTCCACAAGGCAGAAAAGTTTGATTATTAGGTGTTCCATTTTTAGCTACACGGGCATCTTTTAAGTGAGTCGGACAAAGTTTTTTTTAAATTAAACTTATTACTCCTATAAATAAAGAGCAAAATAACAAACACTAATGTGTCTTTCAGTGGAGTTTAAAGACAAATAAACTAAAAACCTGAGTATTTATGACCTTAATACACTGTCCTGTGTTCCTTTTGTTTAATGTATATGTTTGACAGCTTCGAGGTAAAGGATCTTTCAGGTGGAGAACCTCCTCCTATGTTCAAATGATGGTAACTAATGTGTCCTCAAGACAAGCACTTGGTTATAAATCACGTTAGGCCAATCAATTAATCAGTGTTTTAAAAAAAAAAAATCTATTAATTGGAAGTCTGTGAGGTGAGTCAGTGATCAGTGCCTGAAATTGAGCTCTGCTCATTCTTAAGGTGATTTTTTTCCTAAAGTAAATCTGCACAGAGATCAAGTTTGTCTATAATCTAATTGAGACCAAAGTAAAATCATCAGCTAGGTTTGAATGAATTTAAGGTGCATGTTTCTCTTTTTTAAGATGATTCAGTTCATATTCAGGCACATGGGGCATGTCCAATTTAGAGGCGACACATTTTTAAACAAAGACTTAATTTGATGCAGTCTGATTACTGTTGGATTGTATTTTTTTTTTTGTAATAACCTGACCGAACGGTGCTTGAAAAACTTCAGGTTCTGTTTGTTTTAGCGTCTCGGCAGATGAGTGTTCAGATGTTTTTCTGTCTCCAAACATCTAAAAGGTTTTGTGAGGTGATGCTGCGTTGTGAACCGTGCCAGTTGTTGGACAGCATCTGTTGTCTTTGTAAACGCAGCTCATGGGTGAACGCAGCGCTCACCATCAAGGCTTTGTCTGTTTGCTCCTTACGTTGTGTGCAGACAGCTGTTGTAATGATGGAGTAGATCATCTCTGATGTTTACTCAGTGCTGAAATCTTTGACTGTGGAGGATCTGAAACAACACCTGACTACACCAGTGTACAATGCATTTTATTCAGTTCAGGGTTTTCTACACGTAATTGCATATTTTTAATTCAAACAAACTCATTTCATGCAGCATAAACTAAAGATGAACAATCAAATGTATCCAAAAGTTGCACATTTTGTTTTATTTTGCCAAGTGATATTTTTAATAAAATGCTGTTGCAGACATGGTGATTTCAAGAGTTTTATCTTTTAAAATGTTCAAGAAAATTGGACTTTTTAACTTTTTTTTAAATTTTTTTATGTTTTGCTTCTATCTGCGAAGCTTTCTAAGTTCAGGTTTTGTCAATTTCTCAACTCGGTTTCTGACTTGGAAAGCTGCTCGGATGAGAAGTGAACTGCCTTCAAAAAACAAGAAAAGAAGTTCATTTGTTTAAAAAAAATCTGCTAAACTAAAAGCTAAAAATGAGCAGGAACGACTACTGAGGCTCTGCGCATATGAAAGATCTTTTTTTAAAAAGTGTATAATATATTTGTAGAACAGCAGCAACATTTCAGGTTTCGTTTGTTAAGAGATTATATAAAACAAGAGCAATTAAAAAAAGATGAAAAATCAAACTTCATTTACCGGTAATTAAGTTGTACTGTGGGACAATATTACCCAATTCCCTGACATTGTATTAGATTTTTACTTTTAAGTCAAAAATAAATTTTCATTAATTAAATAACTTGACAATAAGGATTCTCCAGTCATGACTTCAGGGACCAATACTAATTGCCAAAGCAATTTTGACAAGTCCACATGTAAATAAAAACAAAGTGTTGAGATGTTGCACTTCTGTTTTCTTAAAAAAATATATGTTTATCTTGATTTTCCTCATTAGTGATCCTTGATTAAAGTATTTAAATCAACAGAACAGCCAGTAAACATCAGATACTAATTGATTGGAGCACCTTTATTTCTTCCATCCATCCATTATCTTTACCCTCTTCTTCCTTTTTGGGTCGCATGGGTCACTGGTGCCCATATCCAGCTGTCACTGTGCAAGAGGCGGGGGACACCCTGGACAGGTCTCCAGTCCATCACAGGGACACATAGAGACAAATGAGACAAACAACCATTCACGCTCTCACTCACATCTAGGGACAATTTAGAGTTACCAATCAGCCTAACATGCATGTTTTTGATCTGTGGGAGGAAACTGGAGTACCCGGAGAAAACTCACACATGCACGAAGAGAACATGCAAACTCCACCCAGAAAGACACCCGGACCAGGATTTGAACCGGGACGACCTGCTTGCTGAGAGAGAGCAGCTCTACCAAGTGCTCCACCGTGCTGCCTCCTTATTTAATCATATTCTGTAAAAATGAAAAAATTCTTAATTGCAGCTTTTATTTTTCTTTGTTATTGTCCACTTTCCTACCCAAAAGTAAAGGGTGTGCTGACATAAATCATGCCGTTTGTGTTTGCTGCAGGATATGTTGATGCAACTGGCAAAAGCTGTGGCTAACGCTGCAGCAGCTCTGGTGCTCAAAGCCAAGAACGTGGCCCAGAAGACCGAAGACTCCACCCAGCAGAACCGGGTCATTGCTGCAGCTACACAGTGCGCTCTGTCCACGTCTCAGCTGGTAGCCTGCACCAGGGTGAGTCCTCCACTGGTCACAAACTATTTATTTGTAAATGTTGATTTTTGGATGTTCCTGTTGAACGTACACCAGTCAGACGTAACATCGGGATTACTGGCAGGTAAAGTAAATATTACTCAGTGGATAATAGTCTTTTTCACACAATACCTTCAAACTAGACCAAAGACACGTTTTTTTTCCCATATTAGTGTTGTGTTTAAATTGCAATGGTGGAACGAGGGGTTTAAAGAAGCATCACTGATATGCCTCTGAGCCAGCAGGTGAGGTAGTCACAGGGCTGAGTAAGTGTGAACTTGGGGCTGGCTCATGCAACACTTTGTTCTAACCAACAACCCTGCTGTCACTGATTGTGTGGCCAGGTTTCATGCAAGTACACACCAAAATGGCCTTAACTTGCTAAAAGTTTGGCATGTGTGCCTAAAGTGAACAGGACCAGCGTCCTCTTGTTCTACAGAGAAAACAAATCCAGGGTGTGAAAAGTGCTGGCACCTATGTGAAATGTTTTTGAGTTGACAAATTAAAGTAGAAAGATAGATGAGCATCAGAACTTGAACAACTTTGGCCAAGGATAAACTCTAATATGAGTCGGAGCATCTGCGCAGCTGCAGCTTGTGTTGGATGTTCCCAGTCTGCTGGAATAAAGTGGACCAAGTTATGTGCAGCCAGTACTGTACTTACTCGTACTACCAGGTCATACAATGAACATTTCACTAAAGAGCTTTTTTTTCTTCCTTGTGAGTTTAGCACAAGTTCTTTTTATTCTTCTATCCAATAAAACATATTGTGCTTCTTGAAGGTGGTGGCTCCAACCATCAGCTCCCCAGTTTGTCAGGAGCAGTTGATAGAAGCAGGCAAGCTGGTGGCCAAGTCAGTGGAGGGGTGTGTGGAGTCATCGCAGAGTGCCACCAACGACGAGGGCCTGCTGAAGCAGGTGGGCCAGGCCGCCTCGGGCGTCACTCAGGCGCTCAACGAGCTGCTTCAGCACATCAAACAGTACGCCAGCGGAGGACATCCCATCGGACGCCACGGAGAAGCTACTGACCGCATTCTGGACGTGACGGAGAACATCTTTAGCTCGATGGGAGACGCTGGTGAGTGAATGTGACCAATATGACGGCCGCAGAACTCACTCACACTTATCCTCCTTTAATGTGAGGACAAATGCTGTGTATAGGCAGAAGAAAGAAAAGAGAAGTTATGTTTACTGACCAACAATTTTAACTGCATTTTTACTGTAGTTGTTATTATTTACTTTATTGTTGTCTGTACTTTGTATGTTCTATCTGGAACAGGTCTCTTGTAAATGAGTCCTCGTGGCTCAATGAGACTAACTTGTATAAATAAAGGTTGAATGAATGAAAAAAGTTTTAGACGAGCATCAAAAGACCAAAGTAGTGGACCTTTTCTGAGGGGTTTTGAAACAACAGTGTAAATTTAGGTTATACATGCAGTCATTTGTCAAAGACACAATTTGAAAAGAATAATTTGTACTAAAAATATTTTTTAACCAAAAGTTCAAGTCAATTTTATTGTCATTCTCATCACATTTGGTACATGAGGTGGAACAAAATTATGTACTCAGGGCCCCAGACCAAAAATAGCAAAATATAAAGTATAAAAAGAAACCGTATACAAGGATCTAAGATGTGCACTAAGATATACGCCAAACAAACGCTAAACAGTACGCTAAAATATCTAAGATACAGTATATGCTAAACACTAATAATGTAAAACAACACATGCAATAAGAGCAGCCTGAGAAGAAGCAGGGAGGGAAATTCTCAAATTTCCCAAAAAGCAGGGAAATTGAGCATGCATCAGGATACAGGGAAATTGTAGTTTTTTATTCTTTTAAAATTCATTAAGAATGGTAAACTAGGAGGAAAACAGGGTCATTTAGTGGATAATGGAAGAACAGACAAGCAAGTAATAATATGGCAACAATTAAACAAAACACCATGTACCAGTAATTCATACATATTTATTCATATTATTTATGTACTGTATTTATTCATTCACACTCGTAGTTTTTGTTTTAGAATTGCACAGTGGCAAAACTGAGCATTATGGTCCCATGAGAGGAAATCTGTTTTTTTCTCCATTAGTTTTGTTTATTTTTCCCCGTTTCCTCTAATCAGGTGAGATGGTCCGTCAGGCTCGCATCCTCGCCCAGGCCACATCTGATCTGGTCAACGCCATCAAGATGGACGCAGAGGGCGAATCTGACCTGGAGAACTCCCGGAAACTTCTTTCTGCTGCCAAGCTGCTGGCCGATGCCACTGCCAAGATGGTGGAGGCTGCTAAGGTCTGCCGTCTTCTTTACCTGATTAACCCGATGCTTTATTTCAGTTTATTTTTATTTATGGAGTCCGACGCATGTTTCTCCAGGGAGCAGCTGCAAACCCGGACAGCGAGGAGCAACAGCAGAGGCTGCGCGAGGCCGCTGAAGGCCTCCGCATGGCCACCAACGCTGCCGCCCAGAACGCCATCAAGAAACGGCTCATCAACAAGCTGGAGGTAAAACTAAACGGAGAAAATGGAAAATTTAAACAGCAGGAGCAAGCTCTGGTTTTAATTTGTTTTCCTGCACAGAATTAGAGGATTCAGTTTAACAAATGCTGAGCACAAAAATGTGCTCAAAACACAAAATGCTGTTTAGGATGACTTTGACTTGATTGTTGGAAGAAGTCGTCTTCTTTCATAGGGTTGGTCACACGTCAGCTTGTTTTTAAAATGAATAAATACCTTTTTACTTGAAGTAAAATATTGTTTAACTTAATGTTCAAACATAAATTGGTGTGATCATACTTTGAGTTAAAAACAAACCTGTGTTGAACAGCTGTATTGGTGTTAATAGTTATTTAAGCATGCATTGTTTAACTCCTCCCTTTTATTTGGGAGTTTCTCTGATTATTGATTGGACAAAAATGTTGGAGCTTTCTTTTTATTATTATTTAGTTGGAAAAGGTGACAATAACTGCATTAATGCAGATTATTTTCTTTAAAATTGTCAATTGATTGTCACCCCTGATGGATTAAACATTCTCTGAGTGCACTTGTTAGTTTTGTTATTCAGGTTGCTTTAGCTTCTGATGTAATGTTGGCTGATTTTAACCAAGGATTTAATTTTAGCCTCATACATGCTGTGTTTTAAACTCACTCACTTTTCTGTTTTCTCTCCAGAACGCAGCCAAACAAGCTGCAGCAGCTGCCACTCAGACTATAGCTGCTGCCCAGAATGCTGCTTCGTCCAACAAGAACCAGGCTGCCCAGCAGCAGCTCGTCCAGAGCTGCAAGGTAAACCATCAATACCTGTTGCTCGTGCAACTCAAACTATTTACACATTAAAGTGACTTTTAACACTATTTTTTATGATTAAGTCAAAGAAAACATATACTATGTTCCAATGGATCAAACTGTGAAGGCTTAGTGCTCACATTGTTGAGAAGTGATTAGTCTTTCCGTGCCTGTTTAGTCTTAAGAAATAAAGGGTGTGGTTACAACATCACTCGGGATGACAAACCTGCGAGCTGTCTGCCTCAACAAATCCAGACTAAGATTAGAGAGACGCAGAAAATGTTTCCTAGAAACCAACAAATAACTCGTCAGAACTTGTAACTTCAGCGGTTCTGAGTTATAAAGTTTGCTCCACAAGTCGATCACTCAGATTCGTTCAACGTGAGAGAAATTGCTGTGATTTTAAATAACAATAGACAATTTTTAACAGGAATACAGTAAGTTTGAAGCTCATGCCAAATGTGTTTCAAATCTTATGGAGTGTGGTTGTTTCATGGTTTTAGACTGTGAGACGACTTCTCCAAACACGGGTGTAATCTTTGGGGCTTCACTGAGCAGAAGCTTTACGTCAAAGGAAACAGAAAAGGTAGAATATAGCATTTTACAAATCCATTTTACTAATGGTTGAACAGGAAGTATGCCTTTAAGCTGACTGTAATCTGACTGATCAAAACCCACCTGAGTCCAATGAAATGCTGCATAAAGATCAAATAACTGCTCCAACACCGGTGAACAATACTGACAAAACAAACGTCCGAACGTTTTTAAAATGGTGATGCTTTGGTTGAGTAAACCATGTGTGGGATATTTCAAGTGGTGTTTTAAAGAGACAAATCTGATTATGTTAAGCTCAAATATTATTTGAGGAAACTGTTTTTCTTTTCATATAATGTTTTCTTTTACTGAAATGTTCACATTTTTTCTCCCAGACTGTGAGATGAACTTCCACACATTTGAAGTGTTTCCTGAACGTCCACGTCCACAGAGCAGAAGCATTAGGTTTCTCAGTTCATACCATTGGTTGGTTCACTAATTATCTCTCTGACAGGAGGCAATGTGTTCAACTTACTGGTACTTCTTCCAGTTATCTAACTGTTAACAATGGTGTACCACAAGGCTCAGTCTTGGGTCCCTCTTCACAATTTACATAGGTAATGTAGGTCAGAGCATCGTTGACGCATCCTTACATTTCTATACTTGGTCCCAGCAGTTCTTCCCTTGATTTTATCTTTGAATGGTGTCCCTATTGAGTTTGTTGACTCCTATAAATATTTGGGTATCTTGATTCGCATCTCTCTTTTAAGATCCACGTGGAAAACTTGGAAAGGAAACTGAAAGTTAAACTGGGTTTTTTTTTCAGAAACAGATCCTGTTTAACTCTGAATGGTAGGAAACACCTTGTAACTGTGACTTTCCTTCCCTCCATTGATTACGGTGACATCATTTACATGAACGCTCCTACCAGAACCCTGCAGATGTTGGATGCTGTCTATCATGGTGCACTAAGATTCATAACTGGCTGTGATTATCGTACCCACCACTGCACCCTGTATTCACTGGTTAACTGGACATCATTAACTTCACACAGACTCTCCCACTGGTACATTTTCATCTTTAAATCACTTCTTGGTCTGCTGCCTTCATACATCTCCTCCTACATGTCTCTGTGTGAGTGCAGCTACAGCGTGCGCTCTCAGGACATTATTACCTGCAGTGTTCCCTCAGTGAGGACTGAACTTGGCAAAAGGGCCTTCTCCTACTCCGCTCCTGTTTCCTGGAATATCTTGTAAAAAGATCTGAAGCTCTCGACCTTGACCTCTCTAAGTGGCTTCAAATATCTGTTAAGTTCATGGGAAAAACCAACGCAGACATGTTCCTGTTTTTAGTTTTTTACATCACTTTATAATGTAGCTGTTTTTGTTTCATTTTTTTAAATATAATTTCTTCCATTTATTTATATTTTTAAATGTATATTCCTTACTTTATGATTGTCTACTGTTGCCATCACTCTGTTAAAATCAGGTCTCTCTTGTAAATGAGTCCCCGAGGCTCAATGGGATTAACCTGTCTGAATAAAGGTTGAATGAATGAATTGGCATGTTTTATGTTCTACCACACAGACACATAATGTAAACTATTCAACGGAGTTAAACAGATATTCATATTTTAATGGGAGGTGATCTCTGTGTGGTCAGGTGGTGGCAGACCAGATCCCTCAGCTGGTTCAGGGAGTCCGAGGCAGCCAGTCTCAGCCGGACAGCCCCAGCGCTCAGCTCGCTCTCATCGGCGCCAGTCAGAACTTCATGCAGGTGAGACACACCTCCACTAGAATATTCTGTGCATCAAGTTTAAAGAAATAAAACTCTGATAATGGGAATTCACTTTCTAATAAATTAAGTGTTGTTTGTAAATCCAGTTGTTCTTTTTCTGTCTTTCAGCCGGGTGCTAAGATGGTTACTGCCTGCAAGGCCACGGTGCCCACCATCACTGACCAGGCGTCAGCCATGCAGCTCAGCCAGTGTGCTAAAAATCTGGCCAGTGCCCTGGCAGAGCTCCGCACTGCTGCACAGAAGGTCAATACCTTGTTTACGTATCACGAACACACAAAATGACTCTCTACATCCAACATTTGCAACATGCGGAACATTTGTGTCTCTCTGTGTGTGTAGGCTCAAGATGCTTGTGGTCAGCTGGAGATAGACAACGCTCTAAACATGGTCCGAGATCTGGAGAAGGACATCCAAGAGGCCAAGGCTTCTGCTCAAGAAGGAAAACTCAAACCTCTGCCAGGAGAGACGGTGAACACAGACACACATTTACCAGTTCTTAACTGGTTAGAAGATGCAGCGAGCAGAAAATTATGATTTTGTCTAACCATTTGTTTGTTCCCATGTCTCCTTGCTGTTTTTGTTTAGCTTGAGAAATGTTCCCAGGAGCTCGGTACCAGCACCAAGGCCGTGACCTCAGGGATCGCCCAGCTGCTGAGTGAGGCCACTCAGGGAGATGAGAATTACATAGGTGGGTTCAATATGAGCACAAAAAAAAGCCAACTTTGTTTTTATTGTATTTCTCTACAAATTCCAATATTTGGCTCAAATCATAATCTGACCTTTACTAAACTGATCCACAGGAAAAGTAAATTATTTTGTGACATTTTGCCTTTCTGCTGATCCCTTCTCCTTTTCCATCCAGGTATGTCCGCCAGAGATATTGCCCAGACTCTGAAGTCCCTGGCCTCAGCTGCCAGAGGAGTCGCCGCCACCACGAATGACGTAGCGGCACGCAGCGCCGTGCTGGACTGTGCCGGTGACGTCATGGACAAGTCGGCCAACCTGATCGAAGAAACCAAGAGGGCCATCGCAAAACCAGGAGATGCAGAGAGTCAGCAGAGGCTGGCCCAGGTCAGACTGAAAAACAAAATATCTTCCAAACTGAGAAACGTTCAGCCACCTTAACAAGTAATGAAGTTATTTTATTCATATAGCACTTTGCAAAGGCTAATTGTGCATAAGATACAGAGAACTAGGTAAAGATAACATTCAAACAACAAAATAATACTAGATTGGATCCTGAAGCAGCTGAATTCAACATAAAATACTTGAAATAGACAGTTTTCACTGTCATTTAAAAGAAGCCGTGTCAGCCTGACATGGCCACAGCTCAGGGCTCTAGAAGGAAGTTATTCTTGTGTTTTCAGGTGAGAGCGAGGAGCAACTACAGTCTTCAGCGAAAGGCCTCAGGAAAGTTTAAAAGTTCTCAGATATAATCAGGAGACTGATTTTTTTATTGCTTTTAGGAAAAGGGTTGACTTGAACTAAATTCTTAACTTTCCAGGAAGCCAGTGTAGAGAGATGAGAACTGAGGGGATGGGAAGTCTTGCAGATGAGTTTTAATCCAAATGTGAACACCAAACAAAGTCTTGCTTTAAACAGGAATAGAGAGAGTTTTAGTTAACAAAGGACTGAATTACCATTTCTAATTTCTGATAAGATGACAAGATACCATTACTTTTAGCAACATGAATGTTTTTTTTTAAGCAGTTTGCAAAATGAGACTGCTGGATGATGAATATAAACATGATAAGAATATAAGAATGTGTGTTTGTGTGTTTGCAGGTGGCCAAAGCGGTATCTCAGGCTCTGAACAGATGTGTGAACAGCCTTCCAGGTCAGAGGGACGTGGACAACGCCATCCGCACCGTGGGCGAAGCCAGCAAGTCTCTCCTGGCTGATTCAGTTAGTAAAGCAGTGTCTACTTTTAACAGCAGCATCAGGACCACTAATTTAAACCAATACTAGCACCAAAACAGCATTTTTTTATGTAGTACATCCTAAAACGTCAAGACTTCTACTCAAAAAGTCCTTTATCAGGTGGACAAACAGCATCAACCTCCTATATTTGAACTAAACTGCTCAGTGTGGCTCATCATTCTCCTCTTGCTGCCGTAGTTTCCATCCAGTGGAAGGAGTTTCCAGGAGGTTCAGGCTCAGCTCAACCAGGTGGCAGCGGGTCTAAACCAATCCGCCAACGAGGTGGTTCAAGCCTCCAGAGGGACCACTCAGGACCTGGCCAGGGCTACTAGCAAGTTTGGACAGGACTTCAACAACTTCCTGCAGGCTGGTGTCGACATGGCTGGAACGTCCCAGGTTAGTTTCATACAAAACCTGTCATGATTTAAAGGAGCTACGTGTTCTTGAAATATGTGACGTGGTTATTAATGAAAAATGCCAACAATTACAGATTAGAAAAAAAAAATAAAAAAAAACTTATTTTTGCCTCAATGTAGAGATTCCCAAAGAGATTTTAGCTGAAAAACTGGCTCATATCATTGTCATTTATCATCTGTCCTCATTAAAAACACAATGAAACTGGACATGCGAAGAAGGAGAGAGGAAGCCGTGGCTCTAAAGGTTTACAGCAGATGGACTCTTTCTGACATTCATGTTGATAAGAAATAAGAAAAAGTCCTGCAAAGACCTGACAGAACCAGATCGACGTCACCGGCTCTTTAACTTCACCAACACCTCACTGAAACCCACCGCAGCAGAACAAAGTTATTCTTAAAGGGAAGTGGGTAGAAAAGGATAAAATTAGTCAGAATCTACAGAAACTGGACTGGAAAACATGAGCAACATGTTTTATGAACCTGCCTGTCCAAATGAGGCAGCATTTCAACTCACAGTGTCAGAGGTTTGGTCTTAATATTGGAATTATGAATGCAGGGAATGCATACTTGGAAGACCTCCTCCACTGAGGAAACAGAACTTGGGGACCTTGGGTCGGGCTCTCCAACCTCTGGTGCTGAGGTCACCGAGGTGATTAAAAAGCTCCTCGGTGGCAGGCTCCCAGGGGTGGATGAGATTCGCCCCGAGTTCCTTAAGGCTCTGGATGTTGTAGGGTTGTGTTGGCTTACACGACTCTGCAATATTGCGTGGACATCGGGGGCAGTTCCCCTGGATTGGCAGACTGGGGTGGTGGTCCCCCTATTCAAAAAGGGGGACCTTAGAGTGTGTTCCAACTACAGGGGGATCACGCTCTTAAGCCTCCCTGGTAAGGTCTATTCGGGGGTTCTGGAGAGGAGGATCCATCAGTCGAACCTCAGATTCAGGAGGAGCAGTGCGGTTTTCGTCCTGGTCGTGGAACACTGGACCAGCTCTACACCCTCAGCAGGGTCCTGGAGGGTGCGTGGGAGTTTGCCCAACCAGTCTACATGTGCTTTGTGGACTTAGAGAAGACATTTGACTGCGTCCCTTGGGGAGCCCTGTGGGAGGTACTCTGGGAGTATGGGGTACCAGGCCCTTTGATACGGGCTTTTAGGTCCCTTTACGACCGGTGTCAGAGATTGGCCCACATTGCCGGTAGTCAGTCGGGCTCGTTCCCAGTGAGAATTTGGCTTCTACAAGGTTTTCCTTTGTCACCGTTTCTGTTCATAACTTTTATGGACAGAATTTCTAGGCGCAGCCAAGGTGTTGAGGGGATCCGTTTTGGTGGCCATAGGATTGCTTCTCTGTTTTTTGCAGATGATGTGGTCCTATTGGCTTCATCAGGTCGTGATCTACAGCTTTCGCTGGAGCAGTTTGCAGCTGAGTGACGCAGCTGGGATGAGGATCAGTTTTAATCAAAGTTTTAATTTCCACCCCTTTATTCCAAAATTGAACATTTGACTGACATAGCAATTTGCACAAAAAATAGGTTTCTATTTTACTATTGTGTTAGTAAAATATTGAATTATAAAAAATAAAAGTTAGTCAAATAGCTTAAAAAAATAAATGTACACAAAAATATATACAAATGTATCTTTATACCTGCACAATATGTAGTTACTTTGTAAAATGTGTCATTGAGGGAAGAGTGTAACCTGGATTAAAAGTGTGGATTATTGTAACCTGGATTAAAAGTGTGGATTATTGTAGTGAAGCCTTCGTCTTCAACCATCGACAGAGGCCTCGTGTCAGTGACGATCATGTTCAGGATGTTTCAGTGAAGACAGCTGCTGCTGTGGTGTCCATGATGTCTGTCCATCATGAAGTGTTGTTGTTTGTTGTTGTTGTTTTCTGGAATGAGACAGTAAATATGTATTATATCATAATTTACAGCAACTCAAGAAATGCCTTGTTTCACTTACAGCGTTAGGTTCAGGCAAAAGTAGCTAAAAGAGCAATTAAACACACACACACACACACACACACACATATAAAATACTAAATTACACACATTTGAGTAGATGTAATAAATTACTTTAATTCCTGTTTAAATGCAGTACATCCTGCCATACCTGCAGTGTCTTCAGACTTTGCCAACAAATTAAAAGTTGAAGCTTAATCATTAAATTATTATCTTTGTGTTAGATTTATTTATAAATCACATTTAAACACTGCTTGTACCAATTAAATTAAATAAAAAGTAACACACACGTTCTCTATCACCGCCATTAATCAGATAAACAAACAAGCAGCAGCTTCAGCTACAAAGAGACTGACGTTACGTTTTCTCACTTAGAAACAGAACAATGTGAATATTGTAGAGACTCACCTGCAACACATAAGTTGTATCAGCTGCAGCTCGTGACTCCGACATGTTTACGTTAATCAGCGTGATTCTCCCGTGTCGTCAATTTTCAAAGCGGCATGTTTCTCATTTTTTATCTTTACGAAGAGCTCCCACACTTTGGAGGACTTGGGGTCTGTCATTTGTAAATTTGACTTATTTTCCTTTGAAAACAGTCTCTGCTCTGTTTCCTCCTCGCTCTGTTCAACTCACGCTGCAGAGTTTTTTTTTTTTTTAACTTTATGCAGTCAGACAGCATTGACAATGAACTGCAGGTGAACAAAACGGCTCCGCAGCGCCATGAACGACGCATAATCGCGCAACACAATGAATCGATAATGAAATTCGTTGCCAACGCTTTTAATCATCGATTTTTTTCGATTTTATTGATTCGTTGTTGCAGCTCTAAGTGGGAGTATGCATTTCTTAGGAATATAGCTAATAGATATTGTTTTTGTTCATCTCCTGCAGTCTAAGGAGGATCAGACACAGGTGGTGTCCAACCTTAAAACTATCTCCATGTCATCAAGCAAGCTGATGCTGGCAGCTAAAGCTCTCTCCACTGATCCCAGTTCACCTAACCTGAAGAACCAGCTAGCAGCAGCTGCTCGGTGAGAAACATTTTTCTGCTCTCTAGGTTTTCATTCTAGTTGTGTTGTTTTGTTGAACGTGTTTGTGTTTCCAGGGCAGTGACAGACAGCATCAACCAGCTCATCACCATGTGCACTCAGCAGGCCCCGGGTCAGAAGGAGTGCGACAACGCTCTCAGAGAGCTGGAGGTAGCAACCTATTCTTCTTCTGCATCCTCTGATCGTGCCATGAGATGAGCGATGCTGGTTTTATCTTATGTAATCCAGATACCAGCAGAGAAAACAGAAGATGAGGTTTCTTATAGATGCTGGTTCTGATTGTTGTGTGTGTGTGTGTGTGTGTGTGTGTGCAGTCTGTGAAGGGGATGCTGGAGAACCCGACAGAGGCAGTAAATGAGCTGTCCTTCTTTGAGTGCATCGACAGTGTCATGGAGAACTCTAAGGTACCACACACTGCTCTAATCACGCAGCTTTGACAAGCTTCCACATGTTTCCTCAGGGTCTGTTTAAAAACATCTACTTTTTATGGTCTGCAGGTCTGTATCGGTTTTATTTTATTTTATTTTATCTTTTCAGTCGATGCCAAGCTTCAGAACTTCAAATTCTGTAGGGGTGGACCTCTTTAGTCATCTAACAGTTGGATTTAAATTACGATTCAAAGGGCAATGATATGAATATAACAAATAATATTATAGATGAATCTCTATGAGCAGCAGGTTTGTGACTACAACATCAGGAAGCAGCTGAAATTGAACTAGAGGCAGAAATACAAATGGATAATCTGAAACAACTATGGCTTTTTTTTTTACGTAAATATATTTTGATTTATACATTTTTATGTAATAAATAGTACACAGTAAAATTTGTGATAAAACTATTAATCTGCTGAAAAGCTAACATGGTTAGCATTACGCTTCTGAGTAATATTTAAAGAATATTATAACGTGTATTCTTTAATAATAATAATAATAATACTTTATTTATAAAGCCCTTTAAAACAACCACAGCTGCAACAAAGTGCTGTACATATAAAATCAAGAGCATTTAAACACATAAAACAATTGTTAAAAACATTAAGATTAATAAAAACGATAAAAACAGTGCAGAGCAAATTCAGTGTGTGCTAAAAGCCAGGGAGTAGAAATGTGTTTTTAAAAGAGTTTTAAAACTGGACAGTGAAGGAGCTTGTCTGATGGGAAGAGGGAACTTTAGAGTCCAGCAAAGAGAAGAGATGAAAACGCTTCTTTACTGCAGCATGTTTTAACTTCAGGAAGCTACAGTAACTCTGGAGGGACAAAAACATGTAGCAATCACTGCTGACGCTCTTAAAGTGGCAGCACAGATTACACTGAACAAATTTGAATTTTCACATTTGGTTAAGAATCGGACCAGATCCAGGATAAATTAAAAAACGGCTCCTAGTGAAGAACTCGTCATAAAACAGTCCATCAAACGAAGCTGTGGCTCATGTTTGAGCGAATCTCTCTGCTTCCTGTCAACAGGTTCTTGGTGAGTCCATGGCTGGCATTTCACACAACGCTAAGAACTCTAACCTGCCTGAGTTTGGAGACTCGGTCAGTGCTGGATCCAAAGCCCTGTGTGGTCTAACTGAAGCAGCTGCACAGGTAAAGACTTCATTTAGCTCAATGTATATCTGTCCAAGGACATCAGTTCAGAAACGAATGGAAACCAGTGATCTGCTGATGTCTGTAGGCTGCCTATCTGGTGGGAGTATCAGACCCCAACAGTTCAGCGGGTCAGAAGGGCCTAGTGGATCCCACCCAGTTTGCTCGGGCTAATCAGGCTATTCAGATGGCCTGCCAGAACCTGGTGGACCCAGCCTGCACCCAGTCCCAGGTATGCTCGCCTCACTACAGACACAAGGGTTTAGTTTTATAGCGGTTTTTGACGAGCCCGTCTTTCTGGCCAGGTGCTTTCTGCAGCTACCATCGTAGCCAAACACACCTCTGCTCTGTGCAACGCCTGCCGCCTGGCCTCCTCCAAAACTCAGAACGCTGTAGCCAAGAGGCAGTTTGTTCAGTCAGCCAAGGAGGTGGCCAACACCACCGCCAACCTGGTCAAATCCATCAAGGTTTGCTCCATCAGGCATTTCAAACCACGATCAGTCCAAAAAATTATTCTTAATTCTGTATTGTAATAACACTGAAACAGGTTTAGAACAAAGAACACAAGAGTTATGTTCCAGAAACAAGGTTCTGATAAATACTATGTTTCTTTTACAGGCTTTAGACGGAGCCTTTAATCAGGAGAACAGAGAGAAGTGCAGAGCTGCTACCGGTCCTCTGATAGAAGCTGTGGACAACCTGACCGCCTTCGCCTCCAACCCAGAGTTTGCAAGCATCCCCGCTCAGATCAGTCCAGAGGTCAGTCCTCATCTCACCACTGAAATATATATTTAAAATGTGTTCATGCACAACACTGAAAACAAATGAGCATAAATCTCCGTTCCTAGTCCTGAAACACAGCTCCATTCTATGCCATCCAAAATAACAGCAGAAACAAAAACATCTAGTTTGATTTTCAGAATATCATTTTTTATTTTATCAGAATTTTTATTAAATCAGTGTATGTAATATCAAAATGAAAATCCTGGTTTCTCCTAGATTTTAATCGTCCACTTTCAGCTGCTAAAGTTTTTCCTGTTTTGAGAGCTCTAACCCTGAAAATGTTCCAATTACCTTCTTGTTACGTTTTGTGCTGAAATGCACCACCTTTAATAATTTTCACCCTAAATGTGAAATAGTAGCTCGACGTCCAGTTTCTTTCAGCCTGAAAATCAAATTAAAATGACGATGCAATGACAGCTATGATAGATTGTTAACCTGATTTTCATTTCCACTCTTTCTTTAGGGTCATGCAGCCATGGAGCCCATTTTGGCAGCCGCACAGATGATGCTGGAGAGCTCCACCGGCCTGATTCAGACCGCACGCTCTCTGGCTGTCAACCCCAAAGACCCCCCCAAGTGGTCAGTGCTGGCTGGACACTCTAGGACCGTGTCTGACTCCATCAAGAAACTCATCACCAACATGAGGTAAGGTCTGAACTTTAATGTATAAAGTAGCCTATAGCAATATGACAATATAACAATATGTAACTACAGAAATAGTATTTTTAGTGAAAATGCAGAGTTGTGCTCAGATCTGATTAGCTTGATTATCTGTTATCTGACCTTACCAGCCTTCGGTGCACAGTGGAGTTCATGGTTGACTCGATAACTGTAAGATATACAGGTCATGTTTGCAAAACAAGCCCAAACCCTCAACCCTCCACCACTGTGCTTCACAGTCAGTATGAGTTGTTTGGTCTTATGTGATGTTTGATTTTCTTTAGCAAACATGACACTGTGCATTATGTTCAATAACACCTCTGCTTTGGTTTTATTTGTCCAAAGGACGTTGTGCTGGGCGTCTTGTTTGTTCAGATAAAACTTTGTAAATCTAAACTGTGTTGCTGTAAAAACGCTGAGGACAAAGCAACAATGACGCTCTTCAGATAAAAGCCCTGTCCAAATAGAACTACTTAACATTTTTATTTCAAAGTAGTTTAAAGTATAAGACTTGTCTCTTTAGTTTTTGTCAGATGAACCATAGGTATTTGAAGGTACCACATTATTTATGTTATTTTTTATTAAAGAATGCCTGTCTGTACATTTTCATGATGTGTGCAGAGAGAAAGCCCCTGGTCAGCGAGAATGTGACAACGCTATAGAAGTGTTGAATGGCTGCATCCGAGAAGTTGATCAGGCCTCGCTTGCTGCCATAAGTCAGCAGCTAACGCCCCGAGAGGACATCTCAATGGAGGTAAATACACCCCGAAGTCCTTTAGATGTTAAAGGCCTTTTTAGCAGAAGCTGTTGTGAGCTCTTTGAGGGTCAAGTTAGACATCTCTGCTTATTAAACTAAAAAGTCAGAAACACCGTGTTAAAATCAACGGACTGACTTTAAAAATGACTTTTATTTCATACTAACGGTTTGAGTCCATGTTGTTTGTTTTCAAGTTGATCCTGAAATGTAGGTTTTCTTTGAAGGGGTAACATTTTGCACAGTACACACAAAGTGGCATAAAAAATAGTCTGTAATAAATCTCATCTCTGTGTGATAAGCAGTTACCATATTTTTCGCCATATAAGTCGCACCTTAATGCATAAATTAGCATGCCTGTGACTTATACAGCAAAGTGACATATTTAGTCCCCCCCCCATATTTATAACCCAATTTTTGGCTGAGATCTGACGATTTCATTCATTCTGACATGGAAAATATTGAACATTACCATTTTCAGCCACTAGAGGGCAATCGAGAGTTATGGCAAGCCAAGTGTCTCATTAATAGCTAAAAGTGGCTATTAATGAGACACTTAACTTGCCATACCAAGCCACCAGGTGAAATGCAGCTGATTTGATCATCAAAGTGCATTTACTAAGGAAAAGTTCACTGAGACACACCTTTGCTATAATTTTGAGCAAACAAATAATTGTTTTTAAGTGTTAATCTTGTTAAATTCTTGTTAAAGTCCTTCCATGCACGCTCCTGCGGCCGCCATTTGTCAGCCAATCGATTTTTGGCACAACACCGGCCCACGTTTCTGGGTTGTCAGCAGTGACACATAATAGATGCGACTTATATGGCGAAGCGACGTATTTACATTTTTTCCACTTTATTAGACATATTTGGACTGATGCAACTTATAGGGCGGTGTGACGTTTATGGTGGATACGTACGGTAGATGTATTAAAGAAAGGTATAGCTGTGATCATATTCCTGTGAATTAAACCTGCTTACGGTCTGTGTCTGTGTGTTGTAGACTCTTCATGAGCAAATGGCCGCCTCTGTTCATGAGATCAGTCATTTGATTGATCCTGTGGCTGTGGCTGCTCGATCAGAAGCCTCCCAGCTGGGACACAAGGTAGAACACACATCTACACAGTGCATAAGGAGTGATAAACTGGTTGTCTAATTAAAGGCTACACTTGTGCACATCTGCTGCGAGTAGTTCAGAATCTGTTTTGACTTTTCACGCATCGTTCATTCTCTACGTTTTGACAGGTGTCTCAGATGGCGAGCTACTTTGAGCCCTTGATCATGGCGGCCATCGGTACCGCATCCAAGATCCTCAGCAGCCAACAGCAGATGGCTGTCTTAGACCAGACCAAGACCCTGGCAGAGTCAGCCCTGCAGATGCTCTACACTGCCAAGGAGGCCGGAGGAAACCCCAAGGTACTGAACTCAGCACTGGTAACAAAATTCTCAAGATCCAGAGTTTTGATCCACAAACCTAAAATAAAATTAACGATTATTACAACAGCAATGGTAGTTGTTGAAACCAGGGCATTCTTTAGGTAACATAAGGAGGGCCTCTTTGCATATATTTAGTTATAAAAATACAGTAGCCTTCAACGTGTTCCAGCTGTCTGCAAAGTTAAAAGTATTTATCTTTTATAGATGGAGAGGTTAAAATTTCACTCATTTGTAGAATACATTTTTTAATCAAAGCGCATTAGTGAGCTCCATCCACCACCCATCGAGATGCAATATTTCACGTGTCGATGTGTCCCTGATCAAAACAGTGAACTGCAAACTGTGTGAGTGTGTGTGTGGTGCAGAAAAGCTGCAGTATCTATAAAATATGGAGCTCTGGCTTTGAATTGGTGAATAAACCATCTCATATGTGAGGACTGTTTACCACTCTGTTCTGATTATGACCTGCCACCTTCTTCGTTAACGTCTCATGAACCACTGGTCGGATTGTAATGAAGCGTTTCTGAAGCAGTCACTGGGTGTTTCCTGTCTTCAGGCAGCGCACATGCAGGATGCCCTGGAGGAGTCGGTGCAGATGATGAAAGAGGCCGTGGATGATCTGGGAGCCACGTTGGCCGAGGCGGCCAGTGCAGCAGGTGCTGTGGGTGGCATGGTGGACTCCATCAACGATGCCATCAATAAAATGGAAGATGCACCTACACATGAACCTGAAGGCACCTTTGTGGACTACCAGACTACCATGGTGAAGACCGCCAAGGCCATTGCAGTCACTGTGCAGGAGATGGTAAGAAAGAGATCATCTTAAGGGTTTGATGCTGTAATAATAGTTTGATTTATTTTTTCTTCACCTTCTGCAGAGGTCTGTTAGTAGGTGCTCGGTGCTCCAGAACATGACTGCTGGTGACAGATGCATGTGTAGCCACAGAACAGATCTTGTGTTTTCTTGTTTGTTTAGGTGACAAAGTCGAACACCAACCCAGATGACCTTGGAGGATTGGCCAACCAACTGACTAATAATTTTGGAAATCTTGCAGACGAGGCCAAATTTGCAGCTCTTACAGCAGAGAATGATGAAGTGAGTCATCGTTTCCTGTCACTCGCTTGCTTTCTTTTCAAAGGAAAGCCATTTTATCTCCAAACGCTTTATTTTCCATACGTTTCATAATGTCAACTAGTTCTTTCGTGCAATATTACTTTGTTGCAGATTGGTTCTCACATTAAGAAGCAGGTGGGAGAGTTGGGCTTCAGCTGCACAGGTTTGGTGACGAAGGCTGGAGCTCTGCAGTGCAGCCCCGATGACTCTTTTACTAAAAAGGAACTGATCGAAAGCGCCCGCAAAGTCTCAGAGAAGGTCAGACATTAATCACTTATCTAGTAAAAAGTGATTAGACATTTTTCTACATGAAGTCAATTCATTAATTTATTTTTTCCGCAGGTCTCCCATGTTTTGGCATCCCTCCAGGCTGGTAACCGTGGCACTCAGGCCTGCATCACAGCAGCCAGCGCTGTGGCTGGAATCATCGCAGACCTGGACACCACCATCATGTTTGCCACTGCCGGTACTCTGAACCGAGAGAACGCTGAGACCTTTGCAGACCACAGGTAGAAAGTCCCTTTATAAATCAGAACTGGACTGTTTGTTGTTTTTACTAAAACTACTGAATGCACCAATGACTCTTTCACGGAGCACTTTTGTTTTAAGCTGGTGAAAGTTTTTTTGTCTTTCATATTCAAAGTTAAAGTAAAAAAAATTAAAACTGCTTTGACTTTGGCTAGCCCAGGGGCCTGCAACCTGTGGCTCTTTGGTCCTTCTGCAGTGGCTCTTTCAATCTTTGACCAAAACTAACACAAAACTGAATTTTATTGTTTGTTATACAAATAGCTGGTTTTAGCTGTTTTCATTTTTCAGTTCTTTGGTCATTTATTTTGTAAATATGCCACTACTACTAGAACTAATATAAGGAGTAAAATACTCACTTTAACTTCATACTTTATTTCTATACTTGATTATTTTTTTCCCACAATAAAAAAAAAAAAAATCACAAGTTTGCATAGTTTGTTTAAATTTTAAAAATTGGCAGAAACAAATACAATTTATTTATTTATTTTCCTTCTTTATAAGAAACTTTTTTTTATTATTATTGTAAAAATATCAATAAATGTTAAAATCATTAGATATTTGTAGCTTTGTAATGTACAACTCCTACTGGTCACAAAAAATCGCTCCAACAAACCTGAAGTGGTTCACCTGCCACCAATTGATAACCACAGCTGTAGCAGGTTGTTACGGCTCTGGACACATTTAATTTAGTGAACGAAAGCACAAAAATGGCTCTTTTGATCGTAAAGGTTGCAGACCCCTGCGCTAGCCTGTCAACATCTTACCACTGACAATTGTCTGTGCTATATCTGATACTTGCCCTGCCACAATGATACTGGAGTTTAAAAGACAAACAGCCAGCCTTGTGCTCCCTGCTGCAGTGAAACTGATCCCTCAATAACACATTCCAGGATTTGAAGGGACCTCAACTGAATTGTGCCTAAAGCTAGTATCATATTGGAGACAAGTTGGAGACAAAAAATTGTGAGAAAATGCACACGTTTTTACATGTAATCAAGTCAAGTCAAGTTATAGAGCACATTTAAAACAGAAAGTGTTACCAAAGTACTTAACAAAAATACACAGCATCAAATAAAAAGTAACAAGATATATTTACAGCACATGGAATAAAAAT